GGTTCATCCATTCATTGTTATTATTATTATTGAGAGAAGAATAAGATTGGTGAAGTGAAGGAGGAGGAGGAAGGTGGAGAGAGAAGGGGGAATTGTCATTGGTCTTGCTGGTGTACTTCTTCTTCTTCTTCTTTCTCTCTCCTCTGGTCTTTAGCTCTTTGCAAGTGCTTTCATTTCTTTCGCAATTGGGTGGCATTGTCTTTCATTGTGAATTTGCACTTGGGAAATGACCAGGATCGTAACAATTGGTATCGGAGCGGACTTACTTGCTGGCGAGGGGTGTTAGTCACCCTAAACCTAATTCCGAATTAGGTCAGGGCTAACCTAACTTCGGATTAGGGTTGGAAGTTAGGGTTAAGTGGGGCAGTGAGGTATGTGGATACTGCCCCCACCTGGTTAGGTCATGAAGGGTCGACATTTGACCTGACCAGGTTGATTGAGTGAATGGATGGGGTGGCGAGACACAAAGGAGGCTGTTTGGAGTAAGCGAGAGGGAGTAGAGAGTGAGAGGTACTCGCACCTGGAATCTGCACTTCAAGAAGACATTGAGTGACTTTTGGGCTTCCCCTCAAGAGGGAGACTTGATCGGAGGCTGCCATATCTGCATCGGATTGCTGGAAGTTGCTACTTTGGTCTTCAAACATCGACGGGGGATCCGGCTTTGCAATAGGGGTGTAGGAAGGCCCTTTTAGTCATGCTAGGACACTTCGTGTAGTGGTAGCTAGGGGTCAGGATGACTTATGAGAGAGGGGGGTGACTCGTTATCCATCTTTAGAGGCCGGGCCTCACAGGTAAGTGTCGTGTGACCTGGTTATGCCCGTGGGAGGTTGCTTGGTACTTCATGGCCTGTTGGGGGTGTGCTGGGCTCTCTTCCTCTTCTCAGCGGTCTTGGTTGTGTGTGTGAGCATGTGGATTGCTTTCTCACCTGATGGATGGATGGATGATGTATCTGATCTAAATGACATATCTTTCTACGGTGCATTGTCTTTTCATTTCTGAACGACTGTAAGGGTAAGTTCTTGCTGAAAGTAAGACTTCTTTTCAGTATTGTAGAGGCAGTTTGGGACCGACTTGGTAGCCCTATCACGTTGGTCCTGGTCCACGACCTACTTGGGACCCCTCGGGACCCAGTGGGACCAGGCCCAACGGGACAGGACCTTTTGGGCCCAAATCTGTTTGCCACCTGTGCATTTCCTTGCTACGCTGAACTTGGGGGACATACGGCTAGCAAGGGCATTCCTTTCAAGGGGATCTTGACTGGTCTTACCGCTTGTTATCACATACTGCCCCGCGTCTGACTCGGCGACCGTCTACACCCCTCGAAATCTCCATTGCTGCAGTTAGTTTTCTTCGGCTGACTTATCGCGATGCATGTCCCTTGTCAGGTTAGACAAGAGGGGATCTCCAACTGATCTGATCAGGCCCGTTCTATAAGTCAGTCCTCTCTTCCGTTTTATTTTATTTATTTATTTATTTATTTATTTATTTATTTATTCTTTTTCCGCTGCGTGCCATTCTCTGAGTCCAAATGAATTGCCGCTCCGGCTAGGAGTTCTACCTTCTTCTCTGTGTGACTTTCTGCTTGTTTCTTTCATCTGAACTCTATGTCCGGTATCGAGACGCGTGCGCAGACAGCAAGAAGAGAAGAAAGGGAGAGAGAAGGTGTTCTATTTGAGAGTGTGAGGAGGGGCAAGAGGAGTGTTCGTCCAAACGTAAGGAGAGAGCGGACCCCTCTTGAGAGATCTACTGACACCCCTTCCTCCGGCATGGCTAACATCACATCTGCCCAATGGCAGGCCATGCTGGATGCAGCAGATAAGAGCGAGAGACCGTTCTTCCAGAGGCTTTATGATGATGCCGTGCAGAGGGAAAGGGAGGCAGAGGCAGCAGCCAGAGCTGCCAACATTGCTGATCAGGTGGCTCTCCTTCGGATCCCGGAAGCCAATGCTGACCGGTTCCAGGAGGGACTAGCTGCTGCCGTAGCAGCCTTGGTTCGACTGCGGACCTTGGAAAACCTTGAGTCCCGTGTAACAGCGCTGGAGCAGCGGAACCAAGAGTTGCAGGCTGAGATAATCAGCCTCAAACAGTCCCAACTGTCTGCCCCCCGCCCTCCTAACCCTCGACCTACTGCAGTCCCAGTCTCTCAACCCAACACGATCCTCATAGCAAGGGCAAGTGGAACTGTGATGAGCGCAGGATCCGGTGCCAGCTCCTCGAGCGGCAGCGCCGACAGTTTTGCACTAGTCATAGTCCCAAATGCGGGGACATCAGCCCAAAACGCCACAATCCCTACTGGCGTTCAGTACAGCGGTCCCATGGTGGACAAGCGGGCGGCCACTCTGCCGTCCAAGTACGACGGGAAGGCAGACATTACCTCTTGGATTAGTTCCATGCGGTCATACTTCGAGGTTATGCGGACACCGTAGGAGGACCGAAGTATGATCATGGGGACTAATACCGAGCCCGCCGTACGGAATCACATTGAGCTCCAAGCTGTTGCTGCAGGCTATGAACGAATAGACTTGACTGAATGGCTGAAGGTAACCCCAGTACGCACCCTTGAGGACCTTCTCCTCGCACGGTACCAAGACAAGCATGTTGCGCTCAAGGCTAGGCTAAAGCTTGAGGCCCTCAAGGGTCAAACATGGAGGTCCTCCATGCAAGCTTTGGAACAACACTTGAGTGGTTTGTTCACCACTCCAGATCTGGGAATGACTGACGTGTCTTGTATGGATGTAGTCATGGGAGTGGCCCCTAAAGAATACCTCTCCCTGTTGGCACTCAAAGACCATACCACCTGGCGAGAGCTCATGACGGATCTAGTCAACCTAGAGGCCAAGGACCTCGCCAGGCGGAAGAAGGCATCTGCTGCAGGTGGGAAACCACAATGCAAGCGGTTTGGAAGCAGCAACCAGCTTGCACTGCATGATCATCGGGAGGCTGAAGATCAGTCCTATGCAGATGATCTCTCTAGATGACGATCTAGAGCCGGACTTCGTTATGGGCTGTTCCACATCAGCCATTGAGTCTGACGTCAACGAAGATGAAAAACTGAATGCTTTTAGAAAGACTGCTTCAAACAAGGGGCCCAACCGTGGTTCAGGTAAGGGAACTGTTGTCCACCTCCCAAAGAATGCGAAGATCCCTGAGAAACCGGAGGATGCATCTACCAAGCCTTGGGAAGCCCTCCGAATCGGTCAGAAAGAATGGGAAAGAAGATCTAAACTGCGCATATGCCTGCATTGTCAAAAGTCTGGGCATGCTGTGCAGGATTGTTTTCGACTGCAGGGAAACAAGCAAAGGGCGTAGAGGAGTCCTCAGCACTCCCTACAACAGGGGAAGCTGGAACATCAGTTGCAGGCCCCTCCGATGAGCCTGAATCTGATCAACAGCCCACTCTTGAAGCCCGAAACGACGCTGAATCCAAGGCTGCTACAATTCATGTGTTATACACAGAGCCTTGGGAGGAGTCTAAGGAAGTTGACTTCCACGCTCACATGGAACACTGGCTGCAGCTCAAGCAGCAACGCCGTGTTCAAGGGAGTGTGGAACTAACCTTCTTTAAACTGCTCATTAACCGCCGATACATCCGCGTGCTGATTGATAGTGGTTCAACCACTAACTTTTTTTCTCCTAACGGGATTCGTAAGGCGGGCCTGGGAATGAAGCAAGTGGAATTGCAGAACCCTTGTCAGACCCAGGTGGGCAACCAAGAGGTTGTCACATCTACACATGCTGTCAAAGGTGTGCGCGTCACCTTTGACAAGAGCCGCACTGTCACACATGAGCTCAACTTCTATGTCATGGACAAGTGTCCGTTCGACGCGGTCATTGGCTTGGGCTGGCTAAAGGCTCATTGCCTAAGGACCACGTGGGCAGACAATCAATTCGTGGTGCGTGATGCCAAGGGGAACGAGCGTACCGTCCTATTGGATGAGATTTGCGAGTCCCTTGTGACTCTTCTAAGTGCAACCAAATTCTGCAAATCAGTGCGCAGGCGCACGAAGATTGAGCATGTACATGTAGCTTTTGTAAAGCCTATCCATGTGCCTTCTACTTTTGCCGCGTTTTCTACCTCGGTAAGTAACTCTACTTCTACCACCTCTACTTCTAATCCATCTACTTCTACTGTGAATAATCCCTCTACTTCTAATCCGGTTATCATTGCTGTAAATTCTCAGTCTGATTTTCTTCCTCCTGATGAGGATGATCCTCCACCGGAAGACCCAACAAACATTCGCCAGCTATTAGATCGATTCCCTGAAGTGCTGGCCGAACCTCGTGGAGTTCCCGAACGTCCGGTCAAACACAAAATCGAGATAATAGAGGGGAGTGTTCCTCCAAAGGGCTGCGTCTACCGTATGGGGCAAGGCGAGTTGGAGGAGTTGAAAAGGCGGATTGATGATATGATTGACCGTGGATGGATTAGGCCTAGTGAGTCTGAGTTCGGTGCACCTGTCCTGTTTGTGCCAAAGAAAGGAGGCAAACTCCGGATGCGTATTGAATATCGTGGCCTCAATCGAATCACCCGAAAGAATGCTTATCCTTTGCCTCGCATAGATGATCTGCTAGATGCGGCAGGTGGGTGCAAGGTCTTCTCCAAGATCGACCTCAGATTTGGTTACCACCAGATTGAAGTCGATCCGAGTGACCAGCACAAAACGACATTCAAGACACGCGACGGGCTGTACGAGTTCATCGTTATGCCCTTCGGTCTCACGAATGCACCGGCCACATTTCAGTGCCTCATGGACAAGGTACTTCGCCATCAACTCAACAGGTTTGTGGTGGTGTACCTCGACGACATCCTGATCTTCAGCAAGTCCATGGAGGAGCACGTCAAGCACCTGGAGGAAGTTTTGCAGGTCCTCAACGAGGCGCAGCTGCACCTCAACTTGGAGAAATTTGAGTTTGGAAGGGACAGCGTCATCTATCTTGGGCACCGGTTGTCTGCAAACGGCCTTGAGCTGGAGGCAACTAAGGTTGACGTCATCCGAGAGTGGCCCCAACCGGCGAACGTACGCGAACTGCGTTCTTTCCTTGATTTGGCCTCGTATTATCGAAAGTTTGTGCCCAAATTCTCTGTCATTGCTCACCCTCTCTCAAGACTAACCAGCAAGAATGTTGCCTATGCATGGTGTGAGAAGTGTGAGACTGTGTTCCAAGACTTGAAAGAGGCATTTGTGAGTCATCACGTGCTCCGCATTGCGGATCCCATCCTCGCATTCGTAGTCACTACAGACGCGAGCCAGTTTGGGATTGGTGCAGTGCTGCAACAAGATGATGGTGATGGCCTGTGTCCGCTCGAATACTACAACAAACGCATGCCCAGCCACAAGGTAGCTACCTCCACATACATGTGTGAGCTCTACGCCCTGCGCGAGGCGCTCACGCATTGGAAGACTACCTCTTGGGTCGTCACTTCAAGGTCTACTCAGATCATCAGACCTTGCAGTGGATTAAGACACAAACTGATCTCTCTCCGACGCTGGCCCGCTGGTTACTTGACATTGACGTGTATGATTTTGAGTTGAAACATAAGAAAGGCTGTTATAACCGGGTTGCTGATGCATTGTCCCGCCATCCTGAATTCTTGACTTGCCTTGTGGGCTCGTACGACCTCCGAAGGAAACTGAAGGAGGATCTGGTCAAACACACCGCCAAGGATCCGGACCTTAGTCCCATCCTTCAGCAGCTCAAGGCTGACCCTAACAGTCAGCCTGAATGCGAGGGTCTTGTGTTCCGCCAGTACGGAAAATTCGATCATTTGTGTGTACCCAACCATGCGCCTCTCCGAACTCATTTCTTGGATTTGGCACATGGTCGGAGTGGACATTTCGGTTTTGAGAAGACTTATGGAAGTCTTCCGCAACAATTTGATTGCCAGGAATGAAAGGATCTGCTCAGAAATTTATTGCTGAATGTCAGGTATGCCAAAGAACCAAGGTCCACAGGCATAAGCCTTATGGCCTACTGAGATCTCTCCCCATTGCAGATGGACCCGGTGAGTTGATTTCCATCGACTTTACGAACATAGGAAAGGTGAGTGAAGCAGGGAATTCACAGATCATGGTCATCGTGGATCGATTCTCCAAATTTCTGAATCTGATTCCTTTCCCTCCCCATGCACCAATTGAGCTTGTCATCGAAGAATTCCATCAGCAGTACATTCTGCAGTTTGGCGTCCCGAAAACCATTGTGAGTGATCGGGACACCAGATTCATCAGCAAAGATTGGAAGGACTTTACCTCTCAAATCTATGACATTAAACTGAACAAGACTTCTGGTCGACACCCCGAAGCCAATGGTTTGGCCGAGGAGATCAACCAGACCGTCATCCAACTACTTCGCGCATTGATTGTTCCAGATCAGAACACGTGGGACAAGGAGCTGCACAAGGTGAAGGGGTTGTATAACCACTCCATTCACTTTGCAACTGGCGTGACACCAAACCAGTTGCAATATGGATGGCCGATGCGTAATCCCCTCTCCTATTTGTTTCCTGAACGGTCACCTGGTCTGATGCCTGGCATGCCTGGCTACAATGTCACGTACACATGCTTGCTCAAAGTTGTTATTGCAGCCATGAACAAGCGCCAGCATGCCATGATCAAACATGCTAACAAGTTGCGCAAAGAAGAAAAGTTCAAAGTAGGGGACTACGTTTGGGTTTTCTTATGAAGAGGGCATATCACGAAAACTCCTTCCATTGTACTATGGCCCTTGGCAGATTCTGAAGGTGATTGGGGATGATTTTGGTCCTTCATATGTG